AAATTGTCATGGCAAATATAAATTTGCTTCATCGTCAATCTCAACAAAGAATGTGATATTAAAATAAGCCTGATCATCCCTGAAATTCACATCTGCCCTGTGACACAAAGGCATTCGTGAAAACGTGGAGTAGTGGATAACGTATCGAGATTAAACGCTGCATTGTCATGGTTCGAGTCACTCTGGGAGTGTTGATAAGACCTAAAATGGATCGAAACTGCAATCCCCCTTGGATAAGAATACCTTTTAGGAAACCAAAGCTAAGTGAAATTTAATGGAAGAATCAGCTTTACTCATATCATTGTGGAAAAATACAATTATCAGACCTTCACCACCTTAAACGAAATAGAGTAAATATACCTTATATAACATATAAATTTGTTTCGATTTGAGTATGGTTCGAAACTATTAGTGATTCTTGAATAATAAATAATTTCGACTGGGTTACCTGAGGTCGTTTGATGAAGGATATTCAATTTTTTACAACAATGCTATGTGTATGCTTCATGATCTCATTGAAGTTAACTTAGCCTAAGATTTTTCCATAGAATGTTTGTCTTAAAAAATGCATATTACCACACAGAATAGAAAGCAGTATATTAATTATAAAGAATTTATTTGCAGGTTAAGTTAGAAAAGGATCATTAAGGAGGAGGAATGTTTAAGAAATTATCAGAGCTAATGCACAGAACACTCCACCTAAACAACAGAAACCGAATTGTTGAGGTTTATTTAAAAAATGTACAGAAGATAAGGTACATACTCTGCTCAGAACTGCGTAGAAGCGCTTCTGCGGAACCGTGAGCCGACTTAAGGTCTTCTGTACAACAGGGAGGAATAGTTTGAATCTTTGGCCCATCCGGCAGAGCAGAATAGTCAGCAGCTCGAGTGCTGGTCCCTGTAGTCTGGCAAGTGATTGTACCGCAGCCTCCGACAGGCTAGCCAAGCTTCCTAATGAGGCCAAGACAGCAGGACCGCTTGGTACTCCTGCCACGACACCGGCATTAGAGCCTATTGAAGATCCGATAGCAGAGGCACCACTAGTGCCAGCAGAGATGGCGGTGATGGAAGTGCTGATGGGTTGGCCATCAGAGATGGCAGTTGTGCCACCAACAGTCGAAGATTCGGACTTCAATGGTTGATGCCCATCAGCTGTATCGGTTTGTCCACCAACATTAGTGCCACTACGTCTACCCGATGCAAGAGAGACAGATGCTGGACTAGCGGCGGACGCCCCAGCACATGTTGCTAAGAGATTGAGCAACCGGCAAACAGGATGTACAATACGGCCAGCGTGATCATCTAATCCTAGTTGGTCGGCAAGGCGAGCAAGGCAATCAAGACTGGCCCGCCGCAGTGCCAAACTGCCTATCAAGCCGCCAGGTAGTCTGGAAGAAGTACTGTTGGTGCCACCATAGCCGGATCCACCTCCGGACCCGTCAGTGTTGGACGATGTGGCACAGGCGCTTCCGTTTGCTGCAGCAGCCACTGCGACGGCAGTGGACTGAGCCAGCGCACCGGGAAGGACAAAAGAGATTCCTGGGAAAGAGCAACCCAGCACTGAAGTGGCAGAAGATGGTCTCGACAATCCATCTCCAAAAAACATCAACAAACAATAATTAAGATAAAAGTGGAGACCGCGATCATACAAAAGTCCACACCAGTTTTGTCTTCATACCTTCGAATAATTAAGATATTTCGATTAGAAGTAGGTTGTTCAAGATAATTGCAACACTATTCACTATCATATTCAAATAGCTTATTTTGGAGAACGATAAAATTAAGGCATTTTAGCTTTGATTTGACTTTTCAAGGACATAATCTAATCTAGTAATCTCCATCTAGTAATCCAGTTTTTCCATGCTTTTTGTTACTAGTTCCAAGATTAAGATGCTTAAAATTCCGGAAATTTCTACAAAGTATAAGAGTGAAATTCAAAATCTATAAATGTTTTTTCCGGTGGTAAAAATAAATTTTAGTTTGATCTTTAGGCTTGAATGATCTGGGAAATCTTCCAGCATCCATCCATATCGAGTAGCTAAAATTCTGTTTAAATTGGTCACGTTCTTTTCCTTCTCTTTTTCCCCTCATATGTATTCCGCGAGGTTTAGAATGTTCTATTTTGCGCCATCTTTAAATGATTGTCATTATATTGTCAGTCCTCCCATACTGTATTCAGCCGTTTTAAAATAGGACAATTGGTAATACTATTTGTTTCTTTTCTCTCTTCGTTTCGGGGCCTCCATCTTTGGAGTTGTAGAAGGCAAGCGTTTTATATTTTAGAGATAGATCAATTTCGTCTTTGGAACACAACACTGGTTAGCCTCTGGGGATGAGGGCGAGTATCGTAGTTACATTACTTCACAATCAGTTTAGCTATATCTCTCAACTCCTGCAACATTTGGCGGAACACGACTCATCGGCACTGTTTCCCGCAGGAACTGAGTAAAACTAGTCACTACATCGAGCCTCTCCGTCGATCCAATCCGAGCGTGGCATTTAAAGTACTCAATAGTATTTTAATGCAGTCTCCCTAGGCCGACCAGAACTTGCCCTGGCGCCCGACCGGTAAACTGTCGTTACTCTGTGGTACAACCTTTCTAACTGTCACCAACAGGACACGCTGTCGTAGTCTGCGTTTTTCACACGTCAAGATATTTTCGCCTGTAATTTTCTGTCTTACATACAATAAACTACGACACTACTATTTATTCCCCAATAAAAGGTTGTGGTATTCTATATGTCAGCAAGAAGCCGAGCATACACATCATCATGAATATTTTCTGATACACTACAACCCATTTATTTAATAGTAATTTGGTGCTAAAAATGGAGAAGCCCAGAGACGATGCAAAATGTCTGGGAATGTACAAAATGCAAAGTCCGACGCTGGAGATGAGCAGTGGCAAATGACTCCAAACAAGATGCGTTCGCCTAGGCCTCCGACAATACGACCAAGTAGCAAGAACCAAGTCAAATAACATATTTACCCATGAATTTGGAAATCGTTGCTACAACAATTTCTTTCAACACAAATACTTTATTAAACTCACGTTGAATCTGGAAATTAAACGTGGCCTGAGCCAATAATTTATACCAATCTGAATAAATAGCCATCTGTATATTACATAACACAGAGATCCTAAGATAGAAAAAGCCTAAATTTCATTTTAAGCAGAATAGTAAACAAGTGGCATAGACACTAAATAATCATTGATGCACATTTCTTCACAAATAAGTCTAAATTTCAGGAAATGGCACTTATTATTAAGGTAAAGTTTCATTATATCATATATTCCAATAGATCTAATAACCGCCTTCCAAAAATTGAAATATACTCGGATCAAGTAATAGAAAGGCTTGGCAATAAAAGCCTCACTCATAGTCACGTCACCGTGCTCGACACCGAGCAAGCCTGCATCTGAGGGATCAGCAAGACCTTCGAGTACATTGGCTAATTCAAAACTGTCAGAAGAGGTTGAATGCCCACCGGTATCGTTGTGAAGCATAAAATTATCCTCTTGTGCTCCACCTGCGCCGACGTATCCGCTGCTCCCTCCACCATAGATAAGTTCTCTAGACAAAGTTATAGTGTCAATACTTGTTGGTGGCGCAGAAGCGGCGGTAGCAAGTACGAGATGGAGGCTAGCAGCATCCTCGGAGACGTCAATGAGACGAGCAATAGCTGGAACTATGAGATGCACGAACTCTTCTAGGCTGTAACCAAAATCTGGAAGCACCTCAAGAAGCTAATAAGGTAAGGAGCGGAGAAATGAGCCGGTGTAAATAATACAATAGCGAAAGAATGTGTGAGCTCGAATAAGTGTGTGGCATAAGATATTTGCAAGTATCAGAAAAAAAGTAATTTGTTCAAAAGGATTAGAATTAATTAATGACCACAATATATAAGTCTGAATGATATTCACCTAGAAATATAAAAGAGAATTTCAAGAATTGGCAAATGTGATTCAAAATACTAAGCGAACCAAAAATCCTCAAAATACTGAATATACTGAATCAAATAAGTCTTAAAGAAGAAATATGCCTTTACAGAATTTTAAAGATCACAGATGATTCATTAATAAATGAATCAAGAAAAAGCTACACAAATATCAGTTGTAGACAGTTTAAGCAACAAATGAGCTCAATCTGATTTAAAGGAAAAGTGATATGGTTGCAAATGATTCGACGAGGCAAAAATTGCATCAGAGAGTATTTAACATCTTAGCCACATATCGCTATATAGGTGAAAACTTAACAAGCAATACAGCGTGTAAAGAAAAAATTAAAGTAAAAAATTGTGTTGTAGATATGGAGGC